ATCGTGTCATAGATTCATTATATGCGTTTGTTTGGAAACATTAATCTACAAAAAAATATTAATTAGTATTGATATTAATTTGAATAAAAATTAAGTTATTGCTTGGCACAACTTTCTAAATACTTTGATTATAAAACGTTAAATAAAGTGTCTCACTATTTCGGCACAGAACTTTGCATATGTAAGCGGATGAAAGCGAGGTACTTTACATACCTGAGGGACGCGAGCTATTTACACGGAAGGTTTAAAACGAAAGTGATGTAAAGATCACGTTACTCCTTCATGGCTTTTTATCGCTGTCAAAGCAGGATAAAGGAGCACGTTTATAGCCTAGTGCTATAGTTGTTGATCCATTTTCAGCTTATTTAAATATATAAGTAATATATATTTAATAAAAAATATATATATTACAAAAATACTCATGTTTGGTTTCCACAGAATCCTGTAGATTACATATCCTTCATGAAATTTATACGTTGATAAAATAGGTTGCGTGTTTGTAAGCAGGCGCTAGTGAAGAATGAGTGTTAAATTGTTGAAATATTAAACTTTTTTAAATAGCAGCTATTTATTTAGCAAATACCATTTATTTACAATTGAATAATCAAGTTGGATATGGCTTATAACAATCAAGATTCTAAAGAATTTTCACAGGCTTGACCCGGTTAAATACGGACTACCATACAGTACAACTTGTAATTAATTATTATTCATTTATAGGAAACAGTAATAATTCTTTTTTAATTTAACGTTGTATAATATTTTGGATTAAAATTGTGTGATTTAACAGTCCAAGGATTCTATTAAATTAGAGGTAACATATTTAATGAAAGTAAGTGGTAGTTTATTCAGACCTTTTTCATCCAATATTATTGCATTCATTTAATCAATTTATATCCAAACCACTAATATCGTATTAACCATACAAATAAATAAAATAGCTTTATAAAAAACTAATATCAAAAATAAAATAAAAAATATATGATCCAAATAATCTATGAAAATGTTAATTGTGTACTTATGGTACGCACAATTGCCATTAATACTATATCGACAACACTGTACACTTACTTTTTTATATATAAAGTACAACAGCAAATAACAATTTTATAGGGAAAGATTGCGGAAGTATAAGTTTAAGTTTGCCTCCCTAATAATTCGCTATAAAATATGAGAATATGAATACATACGTTTGTATCATATTCCAAAATATAAGCTAACAAGAGTCCATGATATTGATAAAAAATTATAACAACTTGCTTTAACAACTTAAGCATATAACTTAATTTATTTATAACACATAATAACTTCAACAGTTAAATATACTTTGGAAATATAGAAATATAGGAAGAGTAATAGATTTACCCATACTTTTCAACAGCCCATAGTATGCAAAAAATTATAGGAGTCAAATATTTTAAAACTCTTACAAAACAACAATTAATAACAATTTCCGTAGAGCTGAACCAATTTTATAGTATCAATTGCATAGTGATAGAATAATAAGGATCGATTACATAGTTGTTTTTAATGCTCTATCTGACCTCTAGAAGATAAAACAACATCCCCTGTTCTGTAAGCAAAACAATAACATTGCTACACACAATTGCTTAATTACATTGCTTAAGAGGGTGGATTCAAAAGCCTAAGAGGCAAAACCTTAGAGAATTTTCGAGACATAAAATAAAATAAGAATCTCTCAAGCATACATGGATCAATGTCCTTATTAGATGGAAGGTTTGGTAATGCCTAGATGAGAATACAAACTGTCGTAAATTCGGCAGTTTTAACTTTATCAATTTAATAATTTGCATTTACAACTAAACAAGTTAAATTCATAATTAATGTATCCACTCGTTTAAGCCAACATAACTGAACGCAAGAGTAGGACGCAGGGCTAGTTTGTATAGGTCAAATGGTTGCAGGCAGCAAATTGAAAACTAGGACAGCCCTTAAATGACTAGGCGAACCCTTTATGTCATCCCTTGATGGGCGTTAGAGCTTATGCTCACGACCATATATCCTCTTGAAGTTATAATATATTTTTTATAGCTATAATGTAAGTAGACTACGACTCACTGTAATTTACGTGTTCTATAATAACATACTTTAATACAGCCAATATAACTACGTCAAAATTTCCTACTCCACCATCAGTATATTACTACTATTATATTAAAAGTATGTATACAAAATACAATAATGTTTTACACCGACTTTTATTTTAATATACGTCACAATGATAACTTCTTGATTTTTTTCTCCAAATGTGCATGGTTTTAATCTGATTTATTTAACTTTTTATTTTGTCTGCTATTTGACTTAAACTAAGCAAGCATGGTTTGATTTTATTGTTAACCAATCTCTGATGATGGTTTTATTTGTATTTTATTGAATTATGTATTGACATAGCCTATTATGTAATGTTTAATGGCCAAATAAACAATTTAAATTTGAATTTGAATTTTGAAATGGGCACTACAAGGACCACCATTTACCATAGTTAAATAGTGACAACAGTGTGTCATATTTCTGTCAATTTACTGGATATTATTTATCTAATTTTCCCGATTCCTTTCTACAAAACCTTGACCAATCCATGATGTTTGTCTAATTAAATGTCATTTTATGTATCTTAGTCATGATTAGGTATGTCGGTGGTTGGTGAATATAGGGCAGAAACTATATATACCGCGGCGCTGTGCAGCAATACAGAGACACGCGTGTACTGCGGGTGTTGCATCAGCTGAATGTCACGGCGCGAGCCGATACCACTGGCAAAACTGGTCCACACACAGATTTCAGATTCAGAAACCAGCGTTGAATTATTTTAATTGTACAAGTTATAACTAAACACACCCTCTAAACAAACAATCCCTCCAAATGCATTGTCTAAAATAAAACGTGAAATGTGCACAACTCTAATACGACTTAACCCAAATATATCTCGGAAGAGAATGTTATGGGTTCTTCTCCAAGCCTGATTTGAATATAATTCGTCTAGGGAGCTCTGTGAAGGGTGGAAATCTAGGTTGCAACTCCAAAGCGTCTAGAGCAGACTTAAATCATCCCCTAATCGATGTGACTGTTCCTGCTGTAACAGGGGTTACAACATCCGACGGATATTCACATGGGAGCAATAAACTGGTTACATTCGGCTGAAGTTTGTTTTTTACACATTTAGTTTCCTGTTACAACGATTACGAACATTACAAAATACATTTATTAAACGTTAATTACCTCCTGTAATTCATTCGATTTAATGTTGCAAAATTATGTGGTGTTTTAACCATCATCATAACCCTGTATGGTTTAGCATGGAAAGTAATTCCATACGATGAACACTTTTATATTAGAACGCCTTACCTTGCGTTAAAAAAAAAAAAAAAAATACAAATGTTGAACATTTTCAACTAACCATAACCATTTTACACTTTTAATTATTTATGTCAAGCGCTTACCCTATTTATAAAGGATTTATAACGGACACGTAGGAAAGATTCCTTTTTATCTATTCCATTATAAATCTCTAACATTATCATGTTGACCACAAGCTAGCAATATGAACTTAACTTTCGATTCAAAATAGATACATCGCCATAAACAATCACCTTTTTGAAGAGACTAATCTATTTTTGATGAAAGTTTCTTTTTAATTATAAACCTAAAATTAATAAGTTGTTGAGTGACCTTAATACTATTATTTTCATCCCTATCTCTGTAAACAGTCTTGGATGGTCTCAGGACTAAAAGAGGAAGTTATCCATCCACAAACATCACAAGTTTATTACCAATTACACACCTTAATTTTTTTATATGTTTTGCTCTTTTACTCTAACAGATTTAAAAGGTTTTAAGAATGAAGATTGCCATTTTCCCTCTATTAAACATGTTCGCATTTAGGTTTAAGATTTTTTTTCAAATCTATACTGACCAAAGGCAGTACATTGTGGGGATTAAATGCCGGAAACGTGTTTATCTTATAACGGCAAGAATTTACCTGCTTCGCATACATTTAGAAAAGAACGTTTGCTAAAAATACGTTTTCGAAAACAAAACCTCTCGTTATATACCTTTCCTTTTAACCGTTCGTCCTTTATTTCTCTGACTGATTAACGCCAAGCTATCAACAATACAATTCTAAGTAAAAATATTTTAAGGATAGTATATAAGATGTAAGATACAATTAGTAAATTACCCTAAAAAAGGGTAATTACCCTAAATTTGGCAACACTGCTGTAACACGTATAAAGACAAAATATTTTCTTGCGTTTTTAATTTGAAAAATCATTGTGTTAACAAATGTTGCGTGACCAAATTATCATGTTGTGTGTTTTATCCCATCATAGGCCTTTACGATATGAATTTTAAATCCGATAATTTTACAATAAAACAGCAATTGTGACGATTTGAAAAGCGTTGAAGTAATATGTATTATTGAAGTAAATATTACCTCATACTTAATAGTTTAGTTGTACAGGAATCTGGGTCAAAACTTCACATTGACACTAAATGTGTAGTGATCGGAGTTACATCGACTGCATAAGTATGCAACTTAATTTGTAATGGTAATGTGGAATTTATTTTTCACATCACTATTGGCCGAACCAATCTTTCCATAAGAAAACTGTTAATGCAGTTAGTCTGTTTACCAGCGTGACTATTTGCCTTCCTTCTGGCACGCCGATTTTTACTCCTCTTCATTCGGTAAACTTGTTTTAACGAAATTCGTCCACCACTCATAAACACTTGTTCACAATGTAGGTATACACAGGGTAAATAAGGTAGGAAAGATATTTTCTACTATAGCTATTTATTGCGAATCTTTTTTGGAATTATTTTTATTTTGTGATTTTTTAAATTTTGTTTTCCAGTATTTTCCACTACTATGTACTGAACAAGCTATTTGTCACACAGAAATTCTGTATTTCCTGTAAAAATTGTGTAATAAATAAATATGTTTTTCAACCAGTGAAACTTATCGATCTGCTCACTTCCAGACTCCCCCCTGTTGATGGGCCACAGACAATCCTCGGACTCCGCCCCGCCCGGTGACTCGCCCAGTAGCAGACCCAAGGTGACCACCTCCAGCAACCCCGTGGCAGACGCTTCCAACCTGGAGGCTGCTCTGGAGTCGGTGAGTCATAGACATACATTGATTAGCGGCTTAGTTTCGATAGTTTTTTTTTTTAATTATTTTCATGTTCTTACGTGCTAGACCTACCGGTTCGCCTTTAGGTATGCGGCAAAGGCCCATTTCTTTGTCCCATTTAAACCCTCCCCCAACAATCATTCACACTCACCCTCTCTCTTACAACCCCTCTCCTCCTTTTACTCTCTCACCCTCCATCTTCTCTTTCTCTCTAATTTACCTTTTCTCTTTCAACCACTCTCTCCATTCCTATTTCTCTCTTTCCTATTTCTCTCACCCCCCACCCCCAAACTAAAAAAAAAAAAAAAAAAAAAAAAAAAAAAAAAACACCAAGTCACCCGCATGAATCAGAAAATTTTCAATTTCATTCCAATTATACATAAAAACCTCTCCTTTCATAACTACTGGTGGTATTAAAACCCGAAACCTTAAGGACCTAATTCCCGCGTTCTACTATTAGACCACCCCATTCTCAGCATATTAGCAGTCAAATTAATAGTCAATTTACTAAAACACAGTGTTACATAAATACTAGTTTTATGTATAACCACCCATCCATCTATTCATGAATAGCATTTACTTTCCCTGATAACCCTCCCTCTGACGTCACTAAGGGCATACATTATCTGGTAATTTTATTAGTTCCCCTGTAATCCTCTGATGGCTGTCCAGCCTTCATTTACCTGATGGATGGTATCGGGACTTTATCCATCACTTTACTTAATTAACTGGTCGATACACGTACCATGATTGTGTTTGCTGTCCAACGATGAGTTGATGTTTATATTAACATGTTTGAATTATGCTAATGTTTACGATTTTATTCGTGTTTAAGCTTATTGTAAAATAATTTCTATAGTGGGGTTTCTATTCTATATTCTAAATTTCTAAATTCTAAATTCTTCTAAATTCTTCTATATTCTAAATTCTATATTATATTGGGGTTTTGTGTTAAATTGTTTTTAAAGGTAAACAAATATGTTAGTATCACGTTTCGCCCTTGAACTCCGCAACCAAGACTTAAAATATTACAATTTCTCTGGGTTAATAGGAGTCATATTTCCTAGTACAAGCTAAAGATTAAAACAGAAAATCATTATATTACTTCTTACAAAATAATTTATCCTATTTGTATTTGCTATAAGTTCATGGTAACATATATTGCATTTGAAGTTTGGATGTTAAACAAACACTCAGAACTTTCCATTAGTTCTCAGACTCGTTGGAAGTTAGAAAAAAGTACGTCAACCAACTCAAATATTGACTTTATTGCAACAAATATCAATATTTTGTGATATCTGAAAAACATTTGTTCCGTGTAAACCTTCTGAGACATATTGAATTGTGTCAAAGATCTTTACATGCAGCCTTTTTCATCGAAATATTTTGATGGTTTTTAGGGCCGTTGTCTATGTTTAAAATTTAAAATCAAACGTTGGCTTCTTTTTTTTTTTTTTTTTAAAAGAAAAAAATAAAACGTAAAGTACGAGCGGTCAGTCGTACAACAGTTCAAAACTACGAAAATGCTAGATTTTGTCTTTACGATTGCTTACAACGCTATTCAGGTAAACTGTTTCGCATCAAACTACATCTTTTCTTGTTTATTGTAAAATACTTCACCTATCCTTCTTTATGCTAGGCTTTTATGTCTGAATATTTATACAAGTTGTCGTCATAATGACCCAGTAAGGTTTTGTATTTTAAAATACAAGACCGCCAGCGTCCGACCAATATACTTAATATACAATGTATTCTTTTCCTAGTTTTTCAAAGTTAATCGTTGTCTAATCGAACTTTAGTCAATATGACTTACAAGCAACAAACCCACCAATACAACGTTTTTAAATCTGAATTTGGAACGGCTTGAATATAATATTCAATGGCATCCATATTCTGTAACTTCAGAATAAACGCTAATTACCCAACTTTTGCAAAAAAAGTTTTTCTATAGAAATCTTATAATATTTAGACGTTTCAAAGAAGAAAATCCGCTGAACTGCTAATAACTTTGTTATAACGTCACTCTTGAACTTTTACATAAGCCTTGGTCGAACTTTTAACTTTTAATTAACAAAGTAATTTGTGTAGTAAAAAAGAATTGAAGATAACTCAACACCAACAATAGTGGTACATATATTTAGTAAACTATTATAATTTTAGTTAAGCACTCTTGTAAAACCTACTACACAATTTAAGGAGACGCTATGTTTATTAAAGGATTCATTAATTAAATAGGGTATGAAATAAAACCTGTTGATTAAACGTACACTCCATGAATATAGGTCTTATATGGCCTTGTCATATTGTTGCAATGATTAGAAAACAGGGTTAAAACCACACGTTGGCTCTTAATGTGGTGCATTGACTGGAATTGTATTGACTGCATTTAGTCCCTAACTTAATCTGTGATGGAAATTTAACATACCATTGACACTGTTCACATTAACATCGGTGGATATAATTCTTCTGTCTTATAATTGGTTTAAAGATCAAGATATTTATAATGATAATTGACAGAGTATAAACAGATGCTTTATTCGACAAGCTTTGTGAGTTAAGATTTGTATGTCGTTTAAAAAGGTGTTAATTGCCAACTAGTTGCACAGATAAGTATTTCACACAGTATCAAAAATGTATTTATAACGTTACGCTAAAAAATGTGCACTATTACTGTAATGGGTGTATTTAAATGTTGATTTTTAGTATTGGAAATAATAATTACTAATACAGGTACAAAAACTAATAGTATTTAATAAGATAATTATGGAATTTTACAGTAAAACTATAAACATATCTCGATTGGTTAGTGCGACACGTTAAAGCTTTTGCACATTCTATTTATTGCATTCTTAATGTTCCCATCTATTAATAAAATATATAAGTATAATACAACTACAATCTAAGATTACTGAGGAAAAGTACCAATTAAGACTTAGGTTACAAAGACTTGGTATAGTGATTTCATTTAGTTCTTTTTTACTTAAAATACTCAATTCTTCAGATTATTCCCTAAATCCAATTTTATAAACAATTAATATTATTTAGTGGTTTTCTTTTTTCAAACAGAATGTATTTATTGACTAAGTGCATTCAAAAAAGGATATTAATCCATAAAAGCTATTTAAAAACAAAAATACTTGTTAGAAAAATTTATTATCCATGGTTATTCATTATTAATGTTTGCAACAATTTACTTTAGGGTTAAGTGTTAAATGTTTGATAGCATTAGTCAGTCTAGTCTTCTAACACCGGATCCCTGCTGCTAAAGCACTTCACCTCCCATTGTGATCCACTCACACATACACACGTTCATTTATTACACACACGCACACAAACACACAGAGGATATACTTTTGAGTTTAAAGACACTCTAATACCTCAGATGTTGTTGTACTGATATCAATTAACGTAGGCACACTTTATAAATTAAAAAAGCCAACCCATGAATACATGTACTAGAATGTAAATTATTCGTTCATCGTTCTCTATTGAAGAAACACATTGCCTAAATTCTTACTAGAACGAATACACTATTCTAGGAATAACGAATCAACGTTCCATTTAACTAAAACAATAACCTATTGAACTATTTGCATTGAAATAGCACAGTTAATATGACTACAAGAGTCAATAGCAACCGCAATGCCCAAATCCTAGAGTTACATTGTTCTACATATTAATTCTTAAGACTTACAGTAGTGAAATATTTAAGTGATTTTAAATTTTTTTAAGACCCTGTGATTCTTTTACATTATTAAAAGTTTGATTACACACCAAACAACTTATCATAGTGTAAGATTATTAAATATACTATCACTGAAGGCAATGTAAATATTAAGATTACATTAAAACTAAAAAATACGTTTTAAGTAAATTTTTTTTAAGAAAAACTTTTATCTAAATAATTAATAGTTCTCAGCAAAAAAAAATTAAAATAGTTTTATAAGCTATCTTTCTGATGATAACTTATCCATTCCATATTCATTTCAAACAATTTCCCAACAGACTTGTAGCTAAGCATAATATATTTTATACGCTACCCAGTACCCCTGTATAGGCCAATCACCGGAGAGTAGGTAGGCAAGATTTAATTTAGAATTATTATTCTTCAACACCAAGCTAACAGCTAAGATGGTGTTTGCTGAGATAACCTATCATTAGGTGATTTCCCTCAGATGTTAGGATGCTGCACAAATTACTCCAATGCATGGTAATAACAAATTATAATTTAATTCTTCTAAATAAACGAAAATCCTTTATAATCTTCCTTATAAATGATATCTAATATTACTATATCAGTAATTAAATGGCAACAGTCTTACTTGGTAAAATTCCTACGATTTGACTGGCTTAAATAGGCTGTGATTCCCAGTTCCTACGGACTATGACTGTTTCAAGTACAGTAGGCCTAATGCTTGAACTCGTCTGTAACAATTTCAAAAGAAATAATAACAGGTAAACTAAAGTAATACTAGTTTCACATAATTGAGGCAAACATAATTAATTTAAGGTGATTTTACAATTTATAAAATATTCTCAGAACATGTGCTTTTTCAATCCAAATGTAACATGAAAGTTGAGTATTTAATATTTGACATTTACAAAGTTATTAACTGACAGACAATCAAAAGAATATATATAATCATAGGTAAAAACATGGTGAACAAGATTATTAACAATACAATACCACATAAATCAATTTTCTTATTTTTAAAATGTTTTCTACTTACATTTTCACGAGTTTGTACAATTTTTAAGGGAATCAGCCAACTAAGAAAGATTTGAAGAAACAGCTCATTACAAAAATGACTTTAGTTAATTAACAGCTGTTCTCCAGTTCTGCCAACAAGGTGAAGTATAATAACAGTCAAACTAGTTAGCCATTGATCATGATATTATATGTACATTACATATTCTGTGAATTAAAATAATTTAAATTTAATTAACATTTACCTTACATCAGTATAATTTCCCCCAACATACCT